TGCAGCAACAGGAACAATCGTCCAGACGTGCTTCGTCAACTTTGAATTCCGCTAGAGACCAGCAATGGAGTGAACTACGTCATGCAACAAGATTGGAGACAGAATCGAGATTGGAATTCTCAAATTCAGATTAAATAGGAATTCCAGAATAAACAACAGGTTAAAACAATGACAGCAAGGAGACAGACAACATTTGTTGTTAACATGACCGAAGATACAGCAGCCTATTATTTCAAAACTCCATATGTACAACAAGATCTTACCAAATTTAAATTAATTTAAATTAAATTAACTTAAATTAAATTAAGGAAGATAATAAAGATGAATCTATACAATTTCACTATACAATTTCATAGCTAATTCTCAACATGGATTTGGAAGGACATTTATTTGGAAGGAAAAAAATTTAGATTTTTCTTCTTTTATATAAAATAGAGAATCAAAATATATCAATCCTAGATTAAAAAATTTTGCTCTTTCCTTCATACAATATTACATGCTTAAATGTGTAGTTACCTCATAGTTCCGAATCTAATACCGAAAATCCACAAAAATATTAGAATTCCTTATTCAGGTTTAATAACTTAGTATGTCATCAAGTTTGTTAAAATGTATGATTTAAATGGTTAATAATAATTTCTGATGGCTGCACTGAAAATATAGAGCAGTGCCGTAAAGCGGCAGTTTGTAAGAAGCAAGAATGAGCGAGTGTTCAAGCGATGCAGCTGCATAAATGAACTTATAATGAAAGTCAGCTTAGTCAAATTGTTTCTTTTTTTCTATCTCAAATATTTTTTTATACTCTTATTGCTGACGATCTAAAGTTTAGATAGAGAGTCAATTATAAGTGAGACGTACAATTGCCATTGTAATATATATATGTGTATATATGTACATACACACACACGTGTGTGTGTGCGTGTGTGTGTGTGTGTACATTTTTTTAAATAAACGATAAATTAAATCACAAGCAAGTGTTCTAGTAAATCACTCTTTGTTAATACGTAAATTCTCAAAGATTCCAATTATGAATACAATGATATCAATTTATACATATCCAAAATGTCACCAATATAGTAGCTCAATCCTCCCCGTTCTCCAACACTATGGACCAGAACAAAAAATTGTATTCTGAAATTGGCAATGTCAGCATTGACCCGTTTTCTCTGACGGTCTCGTTGCAGCATGGCATATCATTTAACAGTAATAGTTTAGTGATACTAATGGACTTGATTTCAAAGACTCAAAAAATGAAAAAATATGAGCAGCAATGCGCACATATTTAAATGTCGGAATATACAAATCAATAACTTTTTACAACTTTTTGACATAAACTGATTTTGACTTTTGAATTAAAGTTATATAGAAGTGAAGCAATATAAGATCTATAAAGTATAATTGGAAAATCAAAAAGATTCAAACGCGATACTAATGGCTAATCAGCAACAATAGCTTGTTCAAATTAACGAACAGCCACCTAAACTAAACGATCAGACTTAGCAAGACAACGTTATCCATTGCAGGAACAAGTTCCGATTATCATCAGGTCGACTATTTTAAAGTTCCTATAATCAAGACAATAACACTATAAAATGATAATTCTGCCAAAGGTTCAATTTTATGATTGACATGAACATAAAAAAAAGAAAACATAAATACTAAGTTCAACCCATCATTACCAGCGTTAATAAAGTTGAGCCGTAATATGTATAAAGAAATGTTGACAGATGATTCAGCATTTCAGAAGATCATACTACTGGAGTATATGGATTATTATTCCACTGCGATATTATTTGAACAGTCTCACTGAAACCAACACTTCGTCAAGGATTACTAAACAAGAATGATCTATATTGCTCTTGATTAAGAATGTTCAGTTCTCAATCTCAGATCTATATTGCTGATGCACATCATTGATTTCATCCAGATAATGATCAGAATTTATTTCCCGATTTATTAATGGTACAAGTATAATGCAACCTGAAACTTTTTTTTGCATCACGACAATGCAAGACCATATCGCAGTTAACAAATGAAAACAGTAAGAAACTTCAAATTTGCAGTTGCACATCTTTCGTATAGCCCCGATTTGGCATCATTGGATTTCTTATTTCCGAAATTAAAAAAAGGCGTTAAAAAGTCAGCATTGTTCGCTCAATGCCGAAGTTGAAGTTACTATGCACAATTGAAACAAAAATAAATCAGAAACTTTCTTCATGATCAGGATGAAAAGGTGAATAGAAGGTATGAAAAAATGTAATATTAAATGGTGACTTATGTTGAAAAATAAATTTCTAATTTTGAAGAAAAATAAATTACTTGATTTTGATATCAATTTCATTATTTTATCTTATTTCGAACTTATTTTAAAGAATTGGAGATTTCATTTATCAGTTAACTTTCTTAGATGGATTTAGTGGATACTACAGTCCTACATTACAAATACTTATAATTTTTATGAGAATTTTTGTCTTGTCTAAAAACTTTTTCTGAAGCTGTATGATTTTCTCAAGCATTAATGATATTCTATTAGGTTTTCTTTGGAGAATTTATTTCACTAAGAAAATACATTCTCGGCGTCACTTAAAATAATGAGAAATTGAGAGGCTTCCCCCAGATGTAAAAGACAAAATCATAAGCAAGTATAGTTAAACGGTCAGCAGCTAACAAAGATGCAGCCAAATACAACGTTAAAATATGTATCAAGTATTTATTGCATATAGTCCATTAATTATGCAACTAAATGCACATAATAAATTATACATTAATATAATATGGGAATATAAGTATAAAAGTGTAGATAGCAACAAATAGTCTCATAAAGATAAGTACCTTAGAACTCATCTTATAAGTGACAATAGTATAATGTCACACTGTACTGATGAAATTAAAATAAATTAGAATAAATAAGTAAGATTAAAAACATAGCTTTTGATTGTGGTATTATCGTATTGAATTTCCCGAGTATTCTACACAGGAATTATAATTATAATATGAATCTTCTGTTTCAAGTATCTGCCTATTTGGCACAGAATACAAAATATTTCAAGTATCAAATATTAACTTTTTTAAATTTAGTAAATTTAGTAGTAAAGTAATTTAGTCAAGTAATTTGAAAAAAATGAATCTGTTATTCAGGCTACTATTGTAATTGCTTACTATTACCCCCTTACTATTGAAGAGAAACAAAAAAAAATTCTAATAACAAGTCTCATCAATGAATAAATTAAAGCATTTTGAAATTATATAGTGACTTATCGGTTCGACTTCACATTATAAATAAATTAAATACAATTGTCTAGTAATCATTGCAAAAATATATTTTGTTTGCATATACCATAATGTGCCAAATAATAATAAGCAAAGAAGAATTAATCATAGTAATCAATAAGCAAAGAAGAATCAATATCGCAACTAATTGTACTACTCGCGGAAAAATTCAAAAGGAATTTCCAAAGGATTTGAAATTTCGACAATGTTAAACGTTAATTTTATAAAATAATTCCAGTAAAATGCAACTTCTAAGAGAACATGTTAATAATGGCGACTCGAAAACTTTTATACTGACATTTCACGAGAAATATTTTTACTGCAGAAAAAATAAAAATGTGTGATAAATTAATAAAATAAAAAATATATCAATGCTCACAATTTTAGTTTTATATATTTTCAGTCAATTCTATTAAAAATTAAGTCATTTCAAAGCAATGTTGATATTAACAAATATCAATTAACAATTATTAACGTTATGACGAGATTTGCATTATCATAAATTTACAAATTATCAGCATAAAACTTATTTTTTAAAATAAAGATTTTTATACATAATATTCTATAAAAAAATCAAAAATAAACAAGAAAAGTAACAATTGGTCCAAAATAAATTCCTGAGAAAAAAACCTTGTGAAACCAAGAAGATATATTATCATTCTTGTTAACAGAATGTGAAGAGAATAAAAAAGAATAGTTTGCAAAAGATATCGTATATACGTCACTGTGCCATATTGCAATCGGTACTAAGATAAGAACTAGAGATAAGGAAATTATTATCAAGAAAATTTATACGAATTTACATGTTTATATCTGAAAGATTCGAATGAAAAACGGAAGAGATGCAACGTTTAATACAAATGCATATAAACATGTACGCATTCGCACATATATGTGTTAATTCGATTTGTTTAAAAAAAAAAAGAGTATACGCTCTAAAAACTATATAACATGTATATAATTTTTATTTAGGATGCATAGACGTTTAATCGTTATAGATCGATTCATATTTATTGATTATAATATTATTATATTATATATCTGTCGCAATCCACATATGTCTTCCGCTAAATAAACGCCTATCCAAAGATTGAAACCGTTATTATTTCACTGGCATTCAATGTTATAGACGCAAGAAGATGATTCTTCCTTATCATGTGATTTAAATGCAACAATCGATAAGAACTATTTTTAACGGAATTATACCGTTTTCAATCTTTGGCTTAAATATCATATTGACTGCCAATTACGAAGTTTATGTTATCGATGATCGCAGTCTCGTGCGGAAGCAATGAGCGAGAAAACTTCAGATGCGACATTCGGTTTTTTTCCTAAATTTTCGAGGGCCGTTCGAGTCGAAAGTTGAATCGAGGCGTTTGAATCTCGTCGAACCCATCGTTTAATTAATCTAGCCATCGTCTTCGACCGACGCGCGACGACCGAGCACGATCGGTAATATGTATGTGTGCTCTAGACAGTCGTTCTTTCTTTTTATTTTCTTTTTTTTTTCTCCGCGAAGGGATGTAATGCCATTTGCTTGAGAAACGGTACCCCTCGAGAACGAGCGGTTGCTTCCCCCTGAGAAAGGGGAATTCCCGTTTCGGGCGGAGAAAACGAGCTAAACGTTATTCGCCGACAACGTCGCAGATGTCAATGCCGAGGGTGCTCGGGTGACTTCGTGTGCCGAGCGATAACAACGGACTTACCGCCTGCAGCAGGAACATGCGCGCGAAGACGAAGTTATCCTTGGATCGCTGCGAGGACTCGTCGTCGCCTTGATGACGATGACGATGACGGTGATGTTGACGGTGACGACGATGATGACGATGATGTTGACAGCGTTCGTCCCGACGTGGTGCACTTAGCCACGGAAAAAGCCATCACCGCACGTGCCACAGACCAAGATTTAACGTACTGAGCTGCGGCAGCTTCATAATTCGCTCGAGGCCGCTGGTGGTGATTTTGGTGCAGCCATATAGGTCGATGCACTTGAGGTTCTTCATGCTCTCGGCAACGGTGTGCAGACCTCGATCAGTGAGCCTACTACACTGGCCAATATTGAGAGTCTCGAGGTCGTGCAGCGTCTTGGCGATTTTGCAGATACCCTCGTCGCTGATCTGGCAAGCGGACAAAGATAGTGACTTGAGATTGAACAGACCTTGCGAAATGTGTACGAGCGCCTGGTCGCCGATCTTGTCGCAAAACGATACGTCCAGTGACGTGATACGACTGCCACCCTCAGCCAGATATGCCATACCGATGTCGGAGATGTTGTCGCACGAGCGCAGATTCAGCTCGCGTAGACTGGACATCCTGGCCAGATGTTTGACGCCAGAGTCGGTGATGCAGACGCAGAACGACAGATTAATGGACTTGAGGGTAGTGAGACCAAGCGACACGTGCCTGAGTGCCTCATCGCTCAATCGTTGGCAGTCCTGTAGACTTAGATGTTCCAAGGCGAGATTACCGTCCGCCGTCTCGCGATTCAAACCAGCCAAATGTGCGATACCCATGTCAGACACGTGCCAGCAACTCCGTAGGTCCAGCCGTTTAAGCTTCTTGAGGCCCCATGCGATCAACAGCAAACCAGTATTGGTAATGTTGCAGCATCCGCCCAGCTCAAGGTGCTCGAGATTCTTCAAGTATTGTGCTATTCTGCTGAGCGAAGCGTCCGTTACCTGCTTGCAGAGCGACAGATTGAGTTCGGTGAGGGACGGGTATTCCTGGCAAAAGGCATTCGTGATACCGACGTCGGTGATGTTGTAACAACCGGACAGGTTGAGCGCCTCGAGATTCGGTACACCCTTCAGCACGTCGCTGAGACCACGCCGCAAGGACAGCACCTGTACCTTCTTGACGCCACGTCGTACCAGGCTGGCGAATAACGCTGGCGCTTGTTTCCTAAGGTGCAACCGCGCTTCTACCCCTCGCCAAACTGAGCGATAGTAGGCAGCGTCGCGCCACGCGGTGCACACTTGCGCGGCACGTCCCTTGTCGCGTACGTCCAGGTAGCTGAAGATAAGTGCCAAAATTTCCGGATACAGGGAGGACACGTGGGTGCTCGCGGCCAGCTGGCCGTGTGTTGTCGCGGTGCCGCGCTGATGCACCTGATGCGGATGCAGCTGATGCCGCGACGAGATACCACCCTGGTTGATCGTGTAGGCCGGCAGACCGGCGGCAGCGGCGGCGGCGGCAGCGGCAGCGGTCGCGCCGCCTCCCGCGGTACCGCCGCCGCCGCCACAGGCGCCATTGCCGTCGGTACCGTAGTGCGGCGCCGTGCTGCCGGAGTTGTGTTGGAGAATCGCTTGGTTCTGCGACGTCGGTATCGCCAGGTGTGGCTGATGCAGGTGGTAGTAGTGGCCCGGACGGTGGAGCAACGTCGTACCGCCACGACCAGCACTTGGCGTCAACGGTGACGGAAGTTCCGTCATCAACAGCTGGCTCTCCTCCATATCGTCGTCGCTGCTGCTGCTGTCGTCGTCGTCGTCGTCGTCGGCTGTTGCCGCGCCGTCGTGCTCGTCGTCTTGCGACCCCGTCGCTACCGCTGCTGCCGCCGCAGCTCTCGCTGCCGCTGCTGTTGTTGCTGCTGTTGCCGCTGTTGCTGCTACTGCTGG